ACAGTAACATTAGAGGGGTTCCATTAATCTGTTTCTTCAAATATGGTAAATATTTTTCAAAGATTGTTGATTGAAGACCTCTGGTATGAATCCTACTTGGTTATTATTAATTAATTGTGGTATGACTATATTTTTTAAGTTATCAGCAAGGATAGAAGATAATAATTTAATATCTGTATTGATTAGTGATATGGGTCCATAGTTGCCAATCAGTTCTAAGTCTTTATCTGCTTTTGGGATGGGGACAACATTCGCTCTCAACAACTCTCCAGGACAGCTTAATGTTTTCATTATATAGTTGAAAATGGTGGTAAGTTCCCCTTTTAGTTGGTCTTTCATTAGTTTATAGAATTTATTTGTGAAGCCGTCAGGGCCTTGGGCAGTCTTTATTTTAAGCTTATCTATAGATTTACTGACCTCTTCTTCTGTTATAGGCTGGTTTGTAAGCTTTAATTGGTTGGGTAGGATTTTTGGCATGGGTAGGTTTTCAAAGAATTCCACAATCTTTTTCCCTGCCAAATATTTCTTCTGGTAGGTTATATAGATTCTGATAAAATCTCTGAAATGCTTAGATAGGTTTCTTTGTCTTTTATTTATATATTACTCTTTTATGTTCCTTTTCTAATTTATTAGACATTAGTGTTTCTGGCTTGTTACTCTTTAGATAATACTATGTTCAGTAGCTGAATATTTATCTGTTTTTCTGTTTCTGCAATCTTCCTTGTTATTTGTGTGGAAGGCATGGTTTTATTCTGCCTCGTATATTCGCTTAATGTTATATTGGAAGGCGGAGCCTGAAGTTGTGGGAGGGGTTACCTGGCTATTTAAACTCAGGCCCCCTATACCACAGGGCTGATGCTGCCGAGTTAATTTCTACTTCCGGTTCAAAGGTCATCGATGCAGAATGCCTAAAACTCCAAACAAGCTGGTCTGGGCCTACTGTGGCTCCCACGCTGATTGGACAGAGTTCTCCCTGCTCCCACAACTCCCATCATGCTGTTCCAGCCACACGCGGTCAGAGACTCCCACACCGGTCGGACCAAGTTCTCCCTGCTCCAACAACTCCCATCATGCTGTTCCAGCCACACGTGGTCAGAGATTACTCACCACCTCTCCAGAACTAGCCGTTCGTTCCCGACGGAACTATAAGACGCCTTCCCGGCTTCCCAGGCTTTTTCCTGGACCAAATCTCCATGTCCACTGAGTCTGGGTACTTTCCAGCTGCATAGCTGACCTCTCACCTCACCGCAGCTTCCGGGTCAATTCGTTTGCTTCCTGTATCAGTCAGATCCACAAACCGTGAGTCTGCCCAAACGGGCTAAATCCATGAACAAACACTATTGTTCGCACGTTTACGTCCTTACATACTGTCCATTCGGGACTTTTTCCCCGTTCAGGACTTGTCAGTTAGCCTACTCCTGCCTGCTCTTTGTTCCATTCCCTTTTCGTTAGTTTCCTTTTGTCCAATTTTTACCAAACTAGTCTCCAATCTATATCTGTTATGTGCTGCCATCTAGCAGCCACTACAATCATAGTACGCATTCGTTAGTTTTACACTGTTCCCTGATACATGTATTGTCCAGGTTCTTTTGAATGTATTTAGCCTGCTACTAATTGTCCTTAGATGCCCCCTGTAGTTCGGTTATGTTTGCTATGTTTCTTGTTATTATTTATGATTGTGCACGGATATTGTCAGTTTCTCATTACTAGTTCAGCTCTGGTACGTGTTTAATATTCACTAAGTATGTAGCATTTCCATCATATATTGCAATGTCTTATTCTATCACTTATGGACTTGGTACTGTTCTGAGGCAGTCATCACGTTCACATTTGTTACCATGTGTTATGGCCTATCTTTATACTTGCTCCCATGATAGGTATTTTACTTATTTGGAGCATGACCACCTATTCGCTAAACCTTTTTAGTAGCATGCCACACTCCTATGTTCAGTATATGTATCGTCATGTTCCCTGGTACAAACCCTAGTGTACCAGGCTTTACCATACCATCATACGATCCCCTTGACTCTACGTCAAATAATCACATATTATGCACTAAAGGTTATTTTCTCATCGCTGTTATATTCTACTCAATCAAATTCATCATCCTAACCAACCCTTGCTATTTAGGCATGGCTTCACTAAACCTACATCAACTCCACTTTAACTGTTCTATGTTACAACAGTCAACGCTGGCACGCAATTCCTCCGCCAGGCCACACACAAACCCACACCCGGGGATCCTTAATTCCCCACACATACACCCCCTTCCCATGCTGGCATGACCATATAATTAAATATTCTAAGTCCTAACAGGATAGCTCAAACTACCCTCATAGCTTGGTATTTCATATCACCCTATACGTATTTTAGCTACAGAAGTCACAGGACCAATTAGCGGTCACTCATGACTCTGCCTATTCCCCAATGTTGGTACAGTATCTGTTAAACACTCCCCCACGGTCTCTGGTAGTGGCCTAGGATCCTGACCCTACTTAATTATAGGGATATTTTATTTATGTCTTATGAATCTTGTACCCACCATGGTAGGGTCAGGATTCTAATGACTATGTCCTCAGGTTACCTGCTCATAGCCCAGCCTCAAGAACAACCACCCCCATGATACAAGCGTATTTTTCATTCATAGTAAGTCAAGCCCAATTCCAGTTCCATCTGGCCTCCCACCATAATTTTCTCTTTAGGTTCTCCAGTATCTCATTCCTCTGGCAAGGAAACCTCATTCTACCCAAAGCAAGGTACATTTGCCCACCTCGCTACTTTCCATCACCCGTCCCATTCGCGGATCGGGTATGTCAACTCGCGGTCTGGTTCCCAGCTAAGCCAGTAACTAGTCTCAAATTGAATAATATTTGGCAAAATAACCCATTTGGTGTGAACCTGGTGCAGTGGAGGAGATATATAGACGATGTTTTAATTATTTGGAAGGGCAGCAAGAGTCTTTTAATTGAGTTTTTAGCGTATATTAATTTTAATACATATGGTCTTAAGTTTACAGAAGAGATACATGACATCAGTATTAATTTTTTAGATTTAACTTTGTTCTCCAAAGAAGGTAAAATTCATAGTAAAACGTTTTTTAAACCAACTGATGGAAATGGTTTTATTGAATTTTCAAGTTGTCATCATCCAAAATGGTTAACCAATATCCCTAAAGGACAACACATGAGGGTTTTTAGAAATTGCACAGAGAAAAAAGATTTTAAAGAACAGGTACAAATTTTAAATAAGAAATTTTTAGACAGAAATTATCCTAGTGAACTTTTATGTAAATCTCAGAGGGAAGTGGAAAGTTTTCAGAGAAAGGACCTTTTAGTAAGGAAAAATAGAAATAAAAAAGATGTAAGAAACTTAATGAAATATAATAACAAGACAGGTTTAATACAGAAATCGATCAAGAAAAATTGGCCAATTTTATTACAAGACAAATATTTAGGAAAGATTTTACCCCAGAATCCCAAGGTGATATATAAAAGACCGAATAATTTAAGGAATATTTTAGCCCCCAGTGTTTTACCTAAGAAAGAGATTATAAATGAAAAGGTAAATTTTTTATCAGAAAAACCTAAAGGTTTTTTAAAATGTGGAAGGTGCAGTACATGCAAATTCCAGAAAAACAAGACTACGGAATTTTCTAGTACTGTGACCAAAGAGAATTTTAAAATTAAAAAATGTATCAACTGTCGGAACAAATTTGTGGTATACTTGTTACAGTGCAAATGTGGAATCCAATATATAGGGCGCACTATTAGAAAACTTCATATAAGAATATTGGAACATTTCAATGGGATTAAGAATAAAAATACGAAACATAGTGTACCCAAACATTGCAGTACATGTAGGGAATTTGATTTTAAAGATTTTATATGTATTGGGATCGACATGATTGTACCACACTGGAGGGGTGGAGATACTGAGAAAATGTTAGCCATGAGGGAGACAGAGTGGATATATAGGATGAAATCCTCTGTCCCCTCTGGGCTTAACACTGACCTGGATATATTGGCTTTTATGGATTGATTTTATTGTATGTTTATAGGTTATTAATATACATTTTAAATACTGGAGATTTATAATAGTTAACTTTACGATGTGTTCTTCATACTTATGATGTATTTATTTATATTTTTAAACCTATATTTATTTCTCTTTTTAAATCTATTTTTATACGTATTTTAATAATGAATTATTTATGTGACAGTTTCTGTACCTTTTGTCTACATATTCTGATGTCTTACCATTTGAATTTTTATATATATCATATGTATATTTTTATATATATTTTTTACTTTGTATACAAATTATTATTTATTTATGTACCTTGTGTGCTCTTGCTTGCCTATTAAGAATATAAATAGTTTTATTTTCATTCAACATGACCTCATATATATTATATATACAAATTTTTATCTCTTTATATACATCTCTTTATTATTATAATTTTTTTCATTTTAATTTAATTTAATTTTAACATTTCATTCCCCTTTTTTCCTCTTCTCACCAGTACTATTTATATGACTTGGTAGGCTGGTAGTGATTATTGTTAGGGGTCAGCTGGGGGTCAGGCGGGCTTTGTACACACAGATCGCAAAAGTGTTAAGGACGTTTTTTGTATAGAACGTCCTTAGTGCGACTGTGTATATTATCAATAAAATTATTTTACACTTCAACGTGGTTGCGCATGCGCAAGCCCGTCATGCGCACGTCATGACGTATGACGGTGCGCGTGACGTGGCGCACGCATGGGCGACGGTGGAAGTGACTGCACTGACCGGCGGATTCAAAAGAGAAGAGAATTTTGAAGTGAGAAGATGCTCCTGAGGAAGTCGAGATATCAAACGCGTTGAGCCCACCTGTGGACCCTGCAGTTTGGTATCGGCAGCTTTATTTTACATCTCTACTGGTTTAATGCTTGTGCAATTTTTTGTCTTCAGTTCACCATTTGAATTTATGGAGGATTGTTTTTTTGTGCACTTCCATCTGTACATTTGCACATAGGCACTTGCACTTTGCACATCCAGTACTTTATTGTTTTTTAACTGCTGTACCTAAGGGTCTTCTTTAGCCTATTGTGGCATTTTATATTGCACATGTTCTGTGCTGTCAATATTGATATTCTATAATTAATACATTTTTCTGTTATTTTTTATCCTTATATTTTTTTCTTTGTCAATTTATTTATTTTCTTTTAACCCTATTATATCACCTATATAGTGATTGTGGCGCTCTGTTTCCTTTTATCTTGTTTAGTAACTAGTCTCATCGTTATCAATTCCGTGAGGCCAACACCCATCTTCATCCACATATGTAGGTATACGCCCCTCGGCCCAACGCATAGTTAACGCCTCACATCAACCTCTCCAGGTTACCAATAAGGGCCTCACCCAGCACGGCCTCTTATATTGACTCTTTTTTACAGTCCCTGAGAGGCCAATGTTCTCGCCACATCTTTTAGTGGCCCCTGCCAACTAGGCCAAATCATAGGTAGAGCCTCTCTCAGCTACTTGGCATTAAGGGCCTCACCCTCCTGGTAGTTGAGATAAATTCTTCACCTTTAGCTTTAGCAAGAGCCAGTTGACACAGAATCACGATATTATTTGTTGTGATCACCCCACTCTTATTTGGGTCTCAGCGTGTCTCTAATCCCACTGCCCTGTACCCCAACCTGACTTCCCACCCCGGCTGGGCCTAGCACCCCTGCAAACTATCTGGAGCCTACTAACCCTGGTTCCCCACATTCCTGGACCATTCTAAAATTAACAAGCTGTACTACAGCATTTAGGGATTCCATTCCCTGCCACAGCTCACAAACCAAACTATATAAACTTCTGCTCAAATTACCGGTACACCTCAGCCGGGCACTAGCTCGCAGTCAGGTAATCTGGATAACTACAATGAAGTCAAGCAGTTGATATCCACTCTACTTGCCTCCATTCAAAATATAAACGATGGACTAGAGAGACTGGAATCTCCACAGGCACTGACGCACAGCCCTGCCACAAGGCTCCTAAATCCCTCTCATGGTTATGTTATCCCTTCAAATCCAGCCCCTAGCACATCTGTTTACATTGTCACTCCTGCGTACTTCGTGTCCCCGACCATACACAAAGACATCTGGAAGGGTTAGTTTAGTCTCCTTACTGATTTCCTCCCACAGTGTCTTAGAATACAAGTCTTACTACTACTACTACTACGATAATCTGTCCATCGTTCTATAGACCAGAATCCCAGACTCAATCAGAAACTCAATATCCCAGAATTCATTCTGGCCTTCAGTCTTTTTGCGATGTAAGTGACTCTACTTCTCCTCACCATAGAGAAGGTTTGCATCGACAACCTGGAGTTTTACCTTCAAGCACACCCTTCCTGTCACTTAGTCGACTTCTACATCAAGGTTTTCACACACCATTTCCACACACGTCTGGTCACACTCCCGTCAGGTATTCATGAGTGTCAGAACCTTCAGTCCGCATTAATAGACCCCGCAACACAATCACGTTGCTTAAGAAGGTATTTGACACTCCATATTAATTACCCACCCCTAGCCTCAACTCATTGATTTCCTCTAAGGAATTCTCCCAGCACTATGCCATAGGGGATGACCGGAGCTTGGGTGGGCAAGACATACATTTCCAACGCCTCCAAGCTTCTACCTATTCAGCCGTCCCAAGGGCATGTTCGTGGCATTTTATGGAGGGAATGTCATTACTTTCCCACACGTTTAACTTTTAGAACAAAGAGTAACCCCAAGCTGTTTGTCTTATTTGCTAACACACTATGTTGGCTACCACTCAATATTAGCGAATGTCCTGCAGTCACCCGGTTTCTTAGATGACTTCCTCGCGATAGAACGCCCTCACTCCGCTCTGGTTAGTATTCACAAGATGATGGCACTTTTTCACCACTAGGGGTTCCACTTTTACAAACTGATCTTCTTAGGCATTCATCTTGACCCTATCATGCTACAGAACATGTCCACCTACAGAGAAGGTACATCGCAACAGAGTCCGGGGAACCTTTTTCTTGCGAAGAGCACGCGTACCGGGGGGGGATATACAGTCCTTACTTATTTCCCGACCACTGTGTCTTCTTCCCACCAACAGTTGCATTTTGGCACTAGTTGTGCTTACTAAAGCAGACATACACATATGGCTCAGGTTCATACCACACTGGAATAGAGGGCCAGGTTATTTCCGCCATTTCTCAACATTCCCCAGTTACATGGACCAATGCAGCCGCACACACCGGTTTCACAGTCAATTTGGTGACTTTTGGTTCTGGGATCCCTGGCCAGTTGAGACTCTTGGTTAAAATCTTTCCATTCCTCATCAGCATTGTTTGGAATCTACCCATAGTGCCGCCTTCAAGGCCTGGGGGTATGAGTGGATAGGGGAAACTGTCAAGTACTTCTCTGACAATGGAGCAGCCGGCGATACCATCAATAAAGGCAGATCCTCATCCTTGACAATCATGGCTTATTAGACAACTCACTTGGTAGGCAGCAACACTACAATTCACATCATGTGGGCACAAATTCCCGGTTGTATTATCTTGCTCTAATCTACAGGACTTCTTTGAAGCCCACCCAACAGCCAACAACAGCCCTGTCTACCCCTCCACCCCCGCATTGCATGACTTAAATCTTGGACTAACTCGCCTCATGGCATTTGACAGATTTCTGGATAGAACTGCCCTCTCCGATTATACATCACGAGCACACAATAGAAATTTCACCTTTACAACAAGTTTACCACCAATTACCATAATACCGATATTCTTTAACTAGACGCCATCGTACAACTCCTCTCCTTTTTGCCCCCTCAATTTAAAACTCTCTCTTAACACTACAAAACTTTACCTGACTGGAATACAACACCATATCTTAAGTGCCTATCCTAGTACCGAACAGTTCACATCCTCTTACCATGTGATGAACATACGAAGATAAGGTACTATCCTACGGACAATAAGGTGCCAGACCTTTACAGGTTATCACTCACTGGACTAAACCTCAATATGCCCCTATTTACACTGCAGGGCAAACCACTCACTACAGCTAAATTCATAATGTATCTCAGAATACTCTTAACTAGGTGGATACTCAACCACAATGCCTTTTCGGGACATTCGTTCAGAATCGGGGCAGCATCAGCTGCTTTTAGACAAATGTCCCTGCTCACATCATAAACATTAGGATGCTGGAAATCCACAGTGTATTACTAGATACATACCACAACCAGAGCTATAGTTGAGTAGACAAGCCTTTATGAATCTTGCAACGTAGAGATATGTAATAAGGATATTTTATTTTTTCCCTCTTTTATTACAGGCCTACCCGATACGTCGGTTTCGGCACACCACAACCGACTTGCTCATATATCTAACCTATCATAGATACGGCTTTGGTCCCCAACTACAAAATTGGAAGGCGGAGCCTGAAGTTGTGGGAGGGGTTACCCGGCTATTTAAACTCAGGCCCCCTACACCACAGGGCTGATGCTGCTGGGCTTCATCCATCCCACCTCTCCCATTATACATATTACTATTACAGGTGGGCCCTCTTTTATTACAGGCCTACCCGATACGTCAGTTTCGGCACACCACAACCGACTTGCTCATATATCTAACTTATCATAGATACGGCTTTGGTCCCCGACTACAAATTTAGTTCGAAGGGAGGCAGTAATCCTTTATTTGCAGTAGCTGCCATTTTTATCAAGTGGCCTCTAGCTACACTTTTAAGCGCACCAGACCGTGATATCCAGTGTACCTTTGTTTTTATTTTCTAAAAAGAAACAATTTGTTATATTCTTAATTTCTTCAACATTGTTTTTTTGTGTAATATAAAATCTTTTATACACCACTCTTTATGGAATGTATCAAAGTTATCTCTGTATTTCAACATGATTGGACTATGGTCTTACCATGCTATCTATTCTTTTAACAAGATATAGCATGGTCACATTTCCCAGGATATGGTCAATTCTGGAGAATGAATTTAATGTTTTAGAATAGCATGTAAAATCTAGGTCGGAGGGATGAAATGTTCTCCATATATCTTTTAGATTCAGAATTTTTAGTAAATTTTGCAATCTGTTTTCAGTTATTGTTTTGCTTTTCCTGTCATTTTGGCTCTTTCTGTCTTTCAAAGGGTCCACTACGCAAATAAAATCCCCCATAATTAGTACCAACCCTTATTTAATCTGCTCTATTTTCTTAAACACTTTTGTGATAAATTTTATTGTGGATTTATTTGGTGCATAAATGTTAACTAATGTGAACAGCTTATTATTTATTTCACATATTAGAATAATGCAACGTTCTTCTGGGTCTAATTCTTGATGTTTAATGATTAGGGAGACATTTTTTGCAAACATAAATGCTACCCCTCTTTTTTTTTTTTTTATAGAGCCGCAATTATATCAGTGGAGTATCTTGATGAGTTAATTATATTTTTATTAGATCTTATCCAGTGGGTTTCCTTCAGGGCACAGATTTGTACCTGATTTTATTTTATTTTTTATCAGGAAGTCCACAATTATAGACCTTTTACATGGTGTGTTTATCTCGCATTTATTGAGATCCGCTTAATTTGTATTTTCTTATCTGTTCCTGAGGCTCTCTCTCTCCAAAAGTTTTCAAAGTTTTATAAAAAAAAAAAAGTCTTTATTTGTAATTGCATAAAAATAAGACTGGTTGATTCCAAGCAATAGTATCAACCTAAGAAAAACGTGGTGTATTGCAAAAAAAACTCTGCCATACAGTATCTCGAGTAATACAAAACATTACTGAGATATAGGTCCCACGTGTCATGTGGGAAAAGCGCGCTGAGGGTGTACGATCCAGGACGAGCCTACCTTAGGGTGCTAGAAAAAAAAAAGCAACCCAACCAAAAAGACAGGGTTCAAAATATGGGAACAAGTATGAGACAAAGGGAGACCCTATGAATCTAAACCCCACACTCTTTCAGCTTTTGTTGAATAAATTGTTAAATAATTGTATTAACTCACTTTTATTATTCTTCTGCTTTGTGCAAAAACTTGTGTTATTCTTAATCCTAACACTCTTTTCCTTACCCTTTTCTTTTCTTTCCTCACTGTGTGGGTGTATACCTTTCAATTAATTTGTAACTTCCTTTTATTTTAATTTTAGTGCACATTATGTTAATGTGAACCTCTATGTAGGTGATTTTCCTTCACTTTGTGCATAACTTATCTTGCCAAGTGTTTATTTAATCAATTTTCT